GTCTAGTTTGATTTTTTTATGAAAGGGATTTGTGCATATAAAAAAAACAAAAGAAACTGTCGTAACCTTTATTTTTTGACGACTTCATAAAGGGTTATCTTTTTTGCAGGGTATTTAAACTATTTATTTGGGGTATGGATTATGAAGGGTGTTATATTGTATGCATGTTTTTAGTTAATTATTCAAACCATAAATCTGATGATTGGGCTATGGATTAAACAAGTTATTATATTTTATGCTTTTTTTTTTTAGCTAATGATTCAAACCAAAAATCTGATGATGTCTACAAAAAAACGTTAAAAAAACGTTAATATATATATTGTGACAGCGTTATTCTCATTTTTGCGTAATTAAGACGACACAAAGGCGACAATCTGTTTCATGCTAAACGTAATCGTCAGTCTATATTACATACATTGAGCACTTTAACCCATAAATATATCATACCATGAAACTATATATTATCATAAATATAATAAGAATTAATGAATAATTTAATCCGTTATTATAGTGAATATTGATCTTTGAAATAGACACCCCATTATATATATATATATATAGACACCCCATTATATATATATATATATCTTTGCAAAAACACAGTATACAAAAGATACTTATATTTCACTATCTTTCGGGATTTGCATTTTCATCTGGCTGCTTAGTCTATTTATGTGTGGTCACACAATCTTTAGGCGGTTGAAAAGACAGGAAAATTAATTCTAAGTTTAGAATATATACACCAGTGATGATATAATGAAAGACCTAAGTAGATCCATTTTCATACAACTGAATAAGAACCCAAGTATAAACCAATGTAAACTACATCGGACAATCAACCTAATGATATATATGATAAAAATAATTATCCGAATTCTGATGAATAGATCGCGCAGTAGAACAGAAATAGAACAGTAACATTGCGGGAACAGAAATAGACGGGAAATAGAACAGGAATATTGCAGGTCCGTTAAAGACACTGGAAAAAGAAATCAGATATTTATGCTCAAATTATATCCTAAAGAGCAATCAAAATCCAAAAATATGTATAACTGTGTTGTATTAATTATGTAAAAGCCTTTTACAAATTACACCACGAAGATATGTTGGAAATGCTCAGCAACCATGACATATTTGAGAAAGATATTAGATTAACCCAGAACTTATACTGGCAGCAAACCGACTGCATAGAGATAGAAAATGTATTCAGTAAATATGAAGAGAGTAAGATAAGGATGTGTCTTCTCACTGGAATTATTCACCCTGTACAGTAAATTGGAGAGAATTAGAAGTCCTACCATGATTCATTATTGGCAGCCACAATCTTAACAGCATAAGATATGCAGACGACTCAGTTTGATAGAAGACACAGAAAGGAAACTTCAGAAACTTCTACAGAAGGGAGTGAAAGAAAGTGTGAAGAAAGGATTAGAAGTCAGAATGCATTGTTGTAAGCAACATGCAAATAACTAATTGGAAATATCAAAATTAAGCAAGTACAACAATTTAAATAACTGTTGATTTAACAGACAGTCGAAAGTGCGACACCGAAATCCGAAGCGAATGCTACCTTCCAAAAGCTAAGCAAAATATTAAGAAACAGGAAAATTTCGTTAGAAACAAAGAAAAGAGTACTGCACTGTTGAGAAAAGAAACAGTGTTTAACAATATTTATCAACATTTCGCCAGTAGGTCTGCCTTCTTCAAATTTTGTTTAAAACTGTATTCTAGTAAAAAAATAAAAATAAAAATAAGTCTCTGTAGAAATGTCCCCTGTCTTGAGAAAAATAGATGTAATGATAATCAAAGCTGCAAAACCATGAAACGCAGCCAGCGTGAATGAAATGCAAATGATACGTGAGTAATATGATGGCGACCGTGCACGTCTTGAAATTTTGTTACTTGTTTATTTATTAAGAGCAATTAATCATAGTATAAGGATTATGGAACTCTCCTGTCATTTGTTTACTCCCCAAGAAACGGGGACCGCTAGTAGTTTGTAATTATCTTCATACGTTTTAACTGAGATTATTATTATTATTATTATTATTATTATTATTATTATTATTATTTCCTTTGATTCCTGTTGCATAATCATCTCCTTCTGGATCTCAGCCAGAGACCTAAGGTCAGAAATGTCATCATGACATTTTCCACTGAGCATTTTTGTGAAAAAAAAGACAACCTAAGACCACACTGGTATCCTCATGTGGCACTCTTTTTATGATTTCCACTTCAATATCGTTGTACATATATATATATATATATATATATATATATATATATATATATATGTGTGTGTGTGTGTGTGTGTGTGTGTGTGTGTGTGTGTGTTTCATTAAAGATGTATCATAAGTTACTGTGATTAAGCTTTTTATTCAATTTTTCTTCTGTTCGTATAATTGTTGTCTTTTCTGGATATGAAGTGTGTAAAAATTGTCCAAATATTCTGTATAGCCGAGCGCTTTCGAACATGCCCCCAATGTAGCGCCAGTGTCTG